AAGAATATTATTGTAAATGCATGGTTGAATGATTGAATTGATTTGATTGAATTGGCAAATAATGACTATTTTATGGTTTTTAAGTTGGGCAAGGTATCAGGAACACATTTCACCACCTGTCCAATTTCTTGAACACATATTAATAACATATGATGTCTCAGAATAAAAATAAATCATAAAAATGTTGGTTTATTTCACTTTATTTTTTTTCACTTTGATTTTCCCCACATGACAAAAATCTCTTTTTAAACATTTTGATACAAAATTAAGTTAAAAATATGATAAAATGTCTGTTCACGTCAGGCCAAAGTCCCCATACTAAGTGGACAATCTCCTTTTATTAATTTACATTTTATGATATTACTATTAATTGCTTTCATAATTCATTTCTCATGTCTCTCCTGTCCTTCCAGCTCCCTCTGGTGCCTCTGGTGGCAGTCGGCCGCGGCCTTCCTTATGATGGATGTGTTTTACGTCGTTTATCTTCATGGTGAGTGTTTTTTTGCACATAGGTACTAATAAATGTTACTTTTTATATTATTGACATATCGTTCAAATACAAATGTTTATTAAGTCTGGCCCGGGCAAGTACCAATGTGATTTTTCCGAATCATATGTACTTTCTAAGAGTATTTAGACATCACTGATTAATGTTGATTCCCAAAAGTGGGTTGATGTCAGGCAGGCGGCCGGTCGTAAAAACAAATAGCCAAAAACTATTCACAACATGTAAGGCAGACCCTGGCTATAGCTGGGAAATTGCCAGGTAGAAGAAGAAGAAGAAGACAAATGTTTATTAAGTAACATTTTTAGTTTTGGTTAATATTAGTGTTTATTATGTGTAGTGATAAGAGTACTAGTTTATTTTAATAGTATATTTTGAATTATTTTCTAAGCGTAACATTGACCGCAGGGTTTTTCAACGTTATATCGTTTCAATGGCTTTCTTTATTATTATGTTTTTCACCCTTTAAAATGCGACTTCTTGTAAGTCGAATATTTAAGTAAGAAATCTATTGTCATTATATAAACTAGAATCATTCGTAACATTCCAGGACTCGTGAGAATATATAATTCAAGATGAGGGTCGAAGCTGTTGGTAGAGCGTCTGTTAGGACGTGGTCTGCGGACGAGAGGAAACCTTCTATGAAGAGAAGTGTATGTAGCTGATGTACGATAGTAGTGTGACGGTATGTACTGTTGAATATTTAATATTATTCTGATATTATTTATAAGGTAGAATATTTTTTGAGTTTATTTATTCAATACTTTTATTTTTATTACTTAGTCTTGAAATGTTCGTGGAGTTTCAGGGAAGTTCTTAAAGCTGAAAAAAATGCTCCATTTCAGGGAAAACTCTAAAATCAGCCCTTTTCTATTTCCCATACGTTTTTTTGACATTAGATTTGACAACTTACTAATATGTCAATCATTCTGTTCGATTGAAACAGGAAAAATGTAATAAATACCAATACCTGCTTTTTTATGACGGGATAGAGTTCGCCCGGTCAGCTATACATATATTACTAATGACGAAATTAACGCGGACGAAGTCGCGGGCAAAAACTAGTTTAATATATTAATGGAGACGTAAAATGTAACAATTTAAATTATTAAACAATTTTAGGTAACCTCATATTGCTATTGGATTATTTTAAAACCATAAATACGGTACAGCTTTCCGATTTGTTAAAAATATTTCTAATGCTTGTTTCTTAGCTTAACTTGTATGTTGGTTTGTATGTTTGTAACTTACTGTCTGAAATAAATAAATGTAATTATAATACTAACTATCTCTTGCCCGCGTCTCCGTCTGCGTGTACATCACAGTTGTTCTCTGTCACTATGACCACTGAACCTGAACTACTTCCACTTCATGGTTCCATCCGTGTAGTTTCGTGATCGGGTAATCGGTGTCATCTATCTTCATACAAAATTCATCACAATCGGTCCAGCGGTTTAGTTATATATATTGACCGTTTTATATAATATTTTATATAAAATATACGAATAGATAATACAATAAAAGATAAAACAATTTAAAATATTAAATACTTTAAATAACTTCATATTGCTATTTGACTATTTAAACAACATGTATATGTTATAGCTTTCTGATTTACTTACGAATACTTTTATCGTTAAACAATACTTGAAGTAAGTGTCTTTGTATGTCTTTATATAAGAACAATATTGTATTTTGTATTACAGATGGTGTTATTGGACTGTACTTGAGATTCATCCATCAGGAGATGACATATAACCGCTCTGGCTGCATAGCGGCGCTAGCAGTTAGCAGGGACCAGGGGCCGATCGAAGATGTTCCGTTTCTACGTTGATAGATGGCACTTATTAACAAATCATGAATCAAATGTTATTTTAAATGTCTTAACATTTGTATCTCGTAATGTATCATGAAAAGTATGTAAATAAGAATTAAACAATATAGGTTTAGTTTTTATATGCGTAGGGAATGCAGTGCTTATTTGCATCTATGGAGTGCAAGCCACTGGTATACATACAACTCTAGAAAATGTATTAAATGTTTTTTATTTGGTACTTTATTAGAACTAAAACTTTTAAATAATAAGAAAATTGTAAGAGTTTAGATACTGTGCTGTATATGAATGTTAAATATAAGACTCTACTTAGGTATGAGGAAGTATGAAGCTTCTTAAACTGAAACCACGTTAATAATACGTGAGTCAAGGAAGAATACAAATATTTTTATTATTAAAACACACTACACATCTAGCCCTATTCGCGGACGACACCGCGGTGTGTTCTTCAAGCGGGTCCTACTACATCCCCTCTCAACTACAGACAGCCGCCAAAACCTTATCTTAATATTTCTGCTGATGGAAGATAGATGTGTATCCCATCGTGAGTCTTTGTCACAGTTATAACAATGTTGATGAAATTAAGTATGCTGAGGGTTTTGTGCGTCATTTATAAACATACTTTGGGGTTGATTTGTAGTAACACAATATGTTTATATCTTCTGTAGTAGTCAATGAACAGTTCTAAAGTATATTAGAATACCAAGGAATTTGTCAATAGATAGCGGTGTAACCAATCACTTAGGCAATGGATGTTTAGTTCTGTTTAAATGAAACAAAGACTTGGATTTACAACATATGTATTTATTATGATATTTTACATATTACCAGATGTTTTGGTGACTCTTTACTAACAACAGTGATCAGGACACTCGAGATTAAAGTGTCTGCATTTAGTCTTGTTATTACATTATTTCAGTTATGAAAATGGATTAATTTTCCTTGTACAGTCTTTATTCATCTACTAGTTTACCTTAATACATATATGTTAGATAAAGAACGTTGAACGAGAAATGACAATTATGATATATTTCTGTAAACATACATTTATTTCAAACGTCTATTCATCTATGCTATTTTAAGCGTTGAGACGTATGGAGAGAATAATACGCTTTTCACTTGTTCAAGGAATGATTTAATGAAAATATTTACAGTTATTTATACTAGAAAATTGATATAAATAAATAAACTATTGTTATTACTTCGTGTACGTGCTGCTACACTATCTACATTTATTATGTATTGCTGACATGAAGAGTTAGGCTTAAGATTAATCATATTACATCTTTTAATTTAAATTTACATATATATTATATTACATAAAACGGATGGCTGTTAGTGAATACTTTGAAGTGAAGGTTTTTTTATTTGGTCGGTGCATACGATGTCCACTCCAAAATCGGCAAACTTGTGACTAATTAGGTCCTCTTAAATAATATCTAAGGGAGAACCTTGATGATAATTGTTAATTGAAAGCGGGTAGTCGGTTTGGTCTAACCAAAGGAGACATTACCAAATATTATAATCATACCGACAGAATAAAAAAAAACTGGACATCGCTACTCCGGAGGGAAAAAAGATTTTTGATTTAGCATCCGTTTGCCGATAATCCGGTTTAAGAATAGAGCCACCACGGAACCCCTGCATCCCGGGGAAATGCTACCGGTGTCAACTATACGGACATTCGCAGAGGTTCTGCTACGCACGCCCGCGTTGCGTAAAGTGCCTTGGCGACCAATGCGAGCGTTATGATTGGCCGAACGGCGGCTCGCGACAAATAATGCGACGTGCGAGCGCTACGCCGTTATAAAAGACGGCCCAACCGGCCGAACAGACACTAGACAGACAGACACGCCCGGATCCACTTCCAGCTTCCTGTTGGCAAAGCCACAGCACCCGCCACTCTCCGCTGCAGCAGATTTGTGCAACGGACATGTAGTGCGTGAACGGTCGTACCCCTCTCCCCCGTCGTGAGACCACCGACGCCGCCGCGAACCAATCACGGCGCTCGGTTAGGATCGCGTGTTCGGCTGTGATAAGTGGAAGGACAGAGACCTAAACAGTGACAGTGACACTCTTTAGTTTAAGTGATTTCAAGGCATGGACCTAATTTTAACCAACTTGTGTTAGTGCTAGTGTAGTGATGGCCCCACCATCGCCACCTCGGCCCGCGGCTGCGTCTCAAAGGAAGAGAACAGTGCGCGCGGCCCAGGTTTGGCATGGTGCAGCTAGACGTCGCACGGATGCCGCGGCCGCAATGTTGCAACGGATTGGAGGACAGCTGACCCACGTGTCTGGGTCCCGATCCGATGTGCACCCATCACCATCGCCGTCACCACGTCCCACCACACCGGCTGGGACAGGAGACGCTTTCTTCGACAGCCCGGAGTTGGCCGCCTCACCGGCAATCTCTCCGCCCTGTGATCCCCGAAGACGACCAGCATCGCCCAAGGAGCAGAGGCAGCGCTAGGACACGCGTCTCGATCAAACCACCTGGGCTCCGGTTAAAGGTAGGCCCGCCCCGCGCCTAGCGGCGCCACCCCCCTACCCCGCTGAGCGATTTATATCGCCACCCAAGACCCCCCCCCCCCCCGCCCGCCGGCCTTTACTTCTCCATGCAAGGTTTCGCCACGCATAGAGATGGAGGTCTCATACGCAGTCATGGCTGCGTCACCGCCTACGGGATCCAAACCCATCCCGGCCACCCGCTCACCGACAGCAAATGCGGATGCGCCGACTCCACGGCCCCGCACCACTCCGCCGTCAGCGAGCCCTCCAACCTCCAATGTTGCCGGTGCCACCGACGGTACCACCGCCACGGCCGCCGACACTAACAAGCCCGCATCCAGGGCCAGGTATCCGCCCTTGGTAGTTGAATCGCTTCCAGAGTGGCCGCGTCATATGCGCGAATTGAAAAGGCGACTCGGATTCGCTCCGAATGCCCGCCCCTTTGGGAAAGGTATTAGATTCCTCCCGAAATCAGACCGGGAGTTCCGCGAGGTACAATCATACCTCGCAAAAGTAGAAAGATGAGAACGTGGCGTGGTTCTCATACTCACTCCCGGCTGATCGCCCACTAAAAATTTTGGACAAACACTAAAAATTTTGAACAAAGGAGACCACTGACCGTAGAGAAGAAACTGCTCCCAATCCGGCGGAGATACTGAAAACGGCGGAAGAGCTGTTAATGCGCTCATCGCAGGAGGATTCTTTCGCCACAGAAATATCAAAGCTAAAGAACGGCGAACAAATCAACAAGGAGAGTCGCCTCCACCAGCTGAGTATCCAATACAGCGAAAGCTCAATACGTATCAGGAGCAGGATCGACGCGGTCCAAGACGTGACGGACGCGTTCAAAAACCTATGGTGCTCTGCGGGGACCATCCGATCACGAGGTTATGCATACAATATATCCATAAGCAATTCCATCACGCCGGCGTAGAAACAACACTAAACGAATGCCGACAACGATATTGGGTGCTAAGAATACGCCCCACGATAAAGTCATTGCTAAAAGAATTGCCTACTCTGCCGGGTGAGGGCTCAGAAACCGCCATACCCAAGAACAGGGGACCTACCGGGGTGTCGCTTAGCCCACCACAAGCGACCCTTCACCTACACGGGGGTTGACTACTTCGGCCCACTACCGGTAACAGTGGGCAGAACTCGACAGAAAAGGTACGTGGCGATTTTCACGTGCCTCACCACTCGAGCTATACACCTCGAGGTCGCCGGCTCTCTCACCACGAACTCAGCAGTGATGGCACTACGAAGAATGTTCGCTCGCCGAGGATACCCGACGGCGATCTGGTCCGACAACGGGACAAACCTTAAAGGGGCGGACAAGGAAATGCGAGAAGCGATTGACGGGGCAACCAAGGAAGAGGCCGCGCAGAAATTGATCAACTGGCGTTACATCCCTCCAGGGGCGCCATTCATGGGTGGAGCGTGGGAGAGAATGGTGCGGTCAGTGAAGACAGCCCTGACCGCTACCTTAAACGAACGCCACCCAACAGAAGAGGTACTAAACACGCTACTCGCGGAAGTGGAGTATACAGTGAACAGTCGTCCATTGACACATGTCTCAGTTAATGAGGAGGATCCAGAGGCGCTCACGCCTAACCACTTCCTGCTAGGCGGACCAGGTCGGGTACCCCAACCAGGAACGTTTAATGAAAAGGACGCCATCTCCACGTCGAGCTGGCGAGCGGGACAACAACTGGCAGATACGTTTTGGTCTCGCTGGGTGAAGGAGTATCTCCCCGAGCTTCAACACCGGCGGGAGCCAAACGGAAGGGGACCTGAAGTGCAGATAGATGACCTGGTGCTAATCGTAGACGCCAACTTACCCCGGAACACATGGATTCGTGGTCGCGTGATGGCGACGTATCCAGGACCAGACGGCATGGTACGTACGGTGGACGTGCGGACCAAGGGAGGTGTACTACGTCGTCCAGTCAGAAAGCTCGTGATCCTGCCGATATCAACAGAAGAACCCGCACCGAAGGATACGACGAGTCGTACGGCGGGAGAGATGTGCGGGATAGCATCATAGAAAATAGTATAGAATATAATATATATGTATAAATAAATAGCGATAGAAACTTGTAATGTGTAAATAAAGATATAGCGTAAGATTAATGTAAATAACACAGTATAGTATAGTAAATAAAAATATAGAAACTAGCATAAGATCATTATGTAGAATGTAAAATAGAAACAACTTGTATGCGAAGTAACTGTAAAATTATCGTATGCGCAACTACGCTCGACAACGCAAGCTCCTGATTGGGCGAACGCCTGCGCGCTCGCTCAAACACCGACAATGCGCGGTGAGATCACCGCGCGGATATAAAAGACCGGCCGACGGGCCGACTCAACACAGACGGGATCCCCAACACAGCACTACAAAGACTCCCTCGGAAGGCGCTCATCACGGCTACACAACTCTTTAACGGCATCCTGAGGACTGGCCACTTCCCTACCATCTGGAAGCGAGGCCGGGTTATAGTAATACCCAAACCCGGCAAGGACCTCAGGAATCCGGAGAGTTATCGGCCGATTACACTCCTGCCAACGCTGTCCAAGGTATTCGAACGGCTGCTGCTGGTGAGAATCAATCCTCTCCTGACGTTGAGGCCGGAACAATTTGGCTTCCGCCAGGACCACTCCACCACGCTGCAGCTGACTAGAGTACTAAACGAGATGGCCACGTGGATGAACAAATGCGGCAGCACAGTGACCGTGATGCTGGATATGGAGAAGGCATTCGATAGGGTGTGGCAAAATGGTCTCATTTACAAGCTATCGTTGTCCGCCCTACCGAGGCCTATCGTCACGGTCATCGCATCATTCCTGCGCCAACGCTCCTTCCATGTGTCAACCGGAAGCGCCACGTCAACGCAGAAACAAATCCAGGCCGGTGTGCCACAAGGGAGCTGTCTCTCACCGACCCTCTACGCCTATTACACCAACGACATCCCCGTATCAAGCGGCACTCAACTGGCCCTATTTGCGGACGATGCTGCATACCTGTCCAGCTCTACCAGCGCCAGGCACGCTGCTCTTAAGATGAGCCGGAACCTCGAAGCGCTTCCTAGCTGGCTTATGAGATGGCGACTTAAGTGTAACGTGTCAAAGACCCAGGCGCTCATCTCTGGACGAGCCCCACCACCGCCGAGCCTCTAACTAATGGGAAAGGAAATCCCATGGTCGTCGACGGTCAAGTACCTGGGTGTCACCATCGACAGGTCCCTTACGATGGTACACCATGTGGGAACGGCCGTAGCGAAGGCCCAAGTAGCGAGGACCAAATTACGTCCTCTGCTGTCCTCGAGACTGCCCTTGCGAACGAAACTCGCCATATACAAAACATACATCAGGTCACGCCTCACGTACGCGGGGCCGGCCTGGTATAATCTGGCAGCAGAGTCGACGCGACAGCGATTACAGAGTACGGAGAATTCCTGCCTTCGTCTCGCTGTCGATGCACCTCGCTACTTGAAGAATACTACGATCCACCGGGATCTAAAGTGGGAGCCTATCGGGGGATTCATGGGCAGGCTGGCTAGGAAGATGTTCGAGCGAGCTGACTGCTCACATCTGAAGCACCTAGCCAATATTGCCCCCCTCCCCCACCAAGACACGACGTTACTGCGCAGGAGGCGACTTAAACGCCCCGCTCGGGAGTTGATCCCAGCTCCCTCGAGCGGGGCCGCAGAATCGCCAGTCCCGACAGCAGCAGAACAGGACCAACCACCGCCCTCTCGTAGACGCTTAGAGGGGTCTCACCCCGCGGGCGTCTCGAGGGCGGTTATCAGCCAATGACCGACCCACAGTAGTGGGTCGCGGGGATAATCTCCTTAAGGAGCATAGCTCCGATGGACGCTCCATTGTCCCAAGGGAAATGGAAAGAATACCATTACGGACTCAACACAGTCAGCAAGCGCAATTCATCGGAGAAACAACAGTCAACAAGCGGAACTCAAGAACTACGGAAGACTTCAACAGCGAACAGTGAAACGGAAGATCATTAACAGTGTTCAGAATTGTAATTCGTGTAGAAAATAAATAGTGAATAACCGAACCAGCGCATAGTTTTAATGTACAAACCCGTACATATTCATTTAAACAAACATATATTTCATGATCTATGGACAGACCTTAAATGAAAACATAAGACGGTAGTGAAACTATGAGTACTTTGATTGAGGAAGATGTTTCTGTAGGAGAGCTCTAAATTGTTTTAAATAAATAAAACTAATTATCTTTCTATGTATACGTACATTCCAGAAGGTTCTTTGATATCAATAGACACATCAAACACGTACTGTACATGTTTATAGTGAACACACTCCTTATATTGTCTGCAGACTGCTACAGTTGATACTTCAAGTCTTCTCTATTCTAATATGTCACACTAACCGAGTCATTCTCCTCTTCATATAATTCTATGTTTCATCAATACTTGGTTCATTGTTAGTTTTCATCTAACACTTGATGATCAGCCGTCATCTCCTGATGGATGAATCTCAAGTACAGTCCAATAACACCATCTGTAAAACATAATACAATATTGTTCTTATATGTATAGAGACATACAAAGACACTTACTTCAAGGATTGTTTAACGATAAATTAATAAAAGTTTAAAAAATAACAAAAAACTCCTATAAAATAGAAAACTAAATATAGCATATTTTTATTATTCAAATTAAAAGAAGAGATTCATTTTGTGTTTAAGTTGGTGGAGTGCTATATTACTATTCCATTGTCATACAGTTTTCTAATTTAATTAATTTCTTCCATTTAACATTTATTTATTCAACTCATTATTTCTTCTTACCACAGAAGCCTTTGTTTTGTAAACCATTATTAATAGCCTGATTTCTATTAGTGATTGTATTTATTATCAAATCCCTGCTAATATTATAAATACGAAAGTACTGTCTGTTTGTTTGTAAAGTTTTCATTCCTAAACCGCTGAACTGTTTGTGATGAATTTTAGTATGGATATAAATGAAACCAAGGAAAAGGACTTGGGCTTCCTTTTATTCCAATTATTCGATTCCATAATCCCGACCGAAATCCCAATACTACACGGGGGAAAAATGAAGTGGAAGTAGTCCAGGTTCAGAGGCCTTAGTGATAGAGAACAACTCATGTTTACGCGGACGGAGCCGCAGGGAAGAGCTAGTTATTATTATAATTACTATTATTTCAGGAAAGAAGTTACAAACATACAAATCTACATACAAGTGAACTTAAAAAAAAGCGGTAAAAATATTTTTTTTAATAACTCAGGAACTTGTAACATATATACGTAGACTTAAAATATTAAATATTTTAAATTATGTTACATTAATTGCGTCCATTCATATATTTCATAGAAATAAATCTTTTATTAATTAATTTACTGTCTTTCATTTATTTATTTAATCATTATTTGTTCACCCTGACTCTAAATAATAACAGAATAATATTAAATATTCAACAGTACATACCGTCACACTACTATCGTACATCAGCTACATACACTTCTCTTCATAGAAGGTTTCCTCTCGTCCGCAGACCACGTCCTAACAGACGCTCCACCAACAGCTTCGACCCTCATCTTGAATTATATATTCTCACGAGTCCTGGAATGTTACAAATAATACTGTTTTTATAAAGACAATACATTAATTGATAACAAACTTACCAACTTACATTAAGAAGTCGCATTTTAGGGCGTGGCCGAAAATTGTAAAGATAATAGTTAAAAAAAAAAGGAGGCTATCAAAACGATTACGTTAAAAAACTTTGCGCCCAATGTATGTAACGCTTAGGAAATAATTCAAAATTCCTACCACGTACTACACAATAAAATAAACACTAATTATTATCAAACAAAACTAAAAACGTTACTCAATAAGTATAAGAACTTATAATGTAAGTAATGCCAATAATACGGTAGACGTACAACGGCAGCGCTTCGCCCGGTCCTAGAGCGTTGGATGAGGCGGAAACGCAAACCCCTCACTTTCCGTCTGACGCAGGTTTTAACCGGACACGGGTGCTTTGGTTACTACCTGTGTCGGACTGCCAGGAGAGAGCCGGGAGAAGGCTGCCATGAGTGCGGCGCTGCGGTGGACTCGGCCCAGCACACCCTCGAGGTGTGCCCGAGATGGGCTGCGCAGCGCCAAGACCTTGTGGCGGCTCTCGGCGGAGTGGACCTGTCGCTTTCGAGTGTCGTGGAGAAGATGCTCGAGAGTGATGGGTCCTGGTTGGCGGTGTCCTCCTTCTGTGAGACGGTGAGACGGTCATGTCTACGAAGGAGGCATCTCAGCGGGAAAGGGAGAGGGCGGCTGATGCTCCCTCTCCCCGCAGGCAACGTACGGGGGTGCGACGGAGGCAATTCCTACGCCTCCAATAGCACCCCTGTGTTCCGGGCTGGGGTCGGCGTGGTAACCCGGCCCTATTGAAAGTCCGGCGTCGTCGGGGTGGTCCTAATTGCCGGGATCGCCCCCATTCTCCGAGGGAGAAAGTCCGGTCTTTGCCAGGACCGGCAAGTCGCTGGTGTGCCCTGTCGCTGACAGATCCGGGGTACACCGACATAGCGGCCGATGGCTTTCGCAGTGGTTTTAGTGACTAGGGGCCTGCCCAGGCCGAGCCTCACACATCCCTTCCGGCCCCACCAAGGCCGGTTGGACGGCTCGTAAAAAGAGTTTCCACTACGTCATCAAAAAAAAAAAAAAAGTAATGCCAATAATATAAAATATAATAATTAGATATATGTAAAAAAACACCATGAAGCATCAGCATTAGAAAAAGACATCCATTACGAGGAACTAGGAAGACCGCGGCCGGCTGGCAGGAGACGAGGGAGCGAAATGAATGTTTTATAAATATTGATATAGTTAGTTATGTTTAATTATGTATACAGTGGTATCTCTAACGACGGGACTAATAGTTGTCATAAGGGATTTCAGATAATCAATTAAATGATGAGAAGACATTTTTGAACATCTTAGGTTTAAATGTAGATGATGATTACACTTCTGAGTTTATATCTGTATTTACTTAAAAAGAAATCAGGTTATCTAAAACCGGGATTAATGTTTATTAAAAGACAAAAAATATACATATTTGAAGAAAATATGAAATAAATCTCAATACTTGCAAATCTAGTGAATCTGTGGTTTAAATTTATATTGTATTTAAAGTGCTTTATGCTGTTTTATAATTTAAAAGTTAATATAGCAATCATAGTTAATTTTAAGCTTAGTTATATGCCCATAACTTACCTTTAGGAAATAATTGAGAGGAATTAGGAGAACTCCTTTGTAGCTGAACTTGATTCTTATTTAAATCCAAGTGGTAACTACATGATGCGTCATTGTCTTCTTTTTGTGTATCAACACATTTTTCAGTTTCAACAGAATGTGATGAGTGTACAGTCTCAAATGTTGATGCTGCTAAATAAAATATATTTTTTAATACAACTAAATATATTTAAAGAAAAGTTAAATGAACAATCTTAAAATTGAATGATAACATATTGTCTTGATTGTATCTTCCTTCCTTGTTTCTTTTAGAGTTTCTGATTGAATGTAAATAGACTTGTAATTTTTACTGAATTAAACACTGCCATTCTTATATTACATAAAAAACTATAAACAACTTTTTTTGGTTTGTAGTTATCCAGTGAAATTATAATCTCTGCATATTTAGAACACTTTGTTTTTGTTTTACATATGTAAAGAAGTGACACAAGTAGTTATTTTGGAATACTGTTTGTAGGCACTTTCCTTCATTTAGATAAAAAAGGTAATACAGACTGCACATTATAAATCTATCAAACCACATGTAAGTATATAAAACTGTTAAGATGGCTTGTACACCTATTTCATTATATTCAATTAAATCTAATTTTTTTGTTTTTAATTTTTAATTATGAGTATTAATTTCTTAAGTAAAATAATAATAATGTAAAATATTATCTATAGTTATAAAATATAATTGATTATTTATAGTTATTTTCTATTAGTAGTATGTATTATGTGCCTATAACTACTTGGGAAGTAGCTTACTTTATATACTTACTTAAGTATAGAGTTGGTACAACATTTTGAGTGAGTCGTTTACTTGAAGAAAGGTAAAACTGTTCAAAATGACGATCACATATTCTTATGTTGTTATAAATGTAAGAATCTTCCTTTTGTTTCATGTCTACATTTAAAATATTTTTCCATTGAATGAATTTCTCCAAATTTGGGTATTCAGGTTTAGGAAATGGATGAAAAGGACCTGAAATGTTTTTTATTAGAAGTCAATAAACTGTTACGATTGAAATTGATGTAACAAGAGTGGTAATTGATCGTATATATGACAAATAATAATTTTATAGATTTTACTAAATAAGTATCGTACCTTTAGTCGCACACCGAAAATAACTCTTACTAGCCGATTTCCGTGGCATTTTTTTCAACTTATCGATAATCCAAATTCGTAGTTTCCAATCAAAATGAGAAGAGCCGGGGTCGATCGTAGTCGCAGAAAACAAAGTCCAATTGAGAAAAGCCGGGGTCGATCGTCAAAAGCGTAGAAATAGGAGTCAATGATATTTAAGCCGGGTCAAATGTTTGAAAAAGAACGAACACCACAAGAAGAACAGTAAACAACGGCAAATGAACAACTGAAATAATTTCAAATATGTCCTAATGTCAAATCAATTTGAGAGCTACTTAAGATATCTTTTCTTTCACGGCAATTATATGACAGCTTCATCCAGTGTTGCCAACCGTAAGATTTAAATCGTATTTATACGACCTTTTTGACTTTTGTACG